ATGTCTGCGTTTCTCCTATAAACTTGGAAGTTAGGACTACAGGTGGGATCAGATTCAAGTTAAACATTTTGGGCATGAACTTTCTTTTTGGTGCCGGGTACTTGCTGTCGCCCCTAGCAGGAGCCCACCAGTCTGCTTGACCCACTCCTTTTGCTGCTGAGAGGGGTCACTGTACAAAGGTGGTGACGGCATGAAGCATCCATGGTAAAGTTACTTTTTTCCTCTTCGCACCAAGCAGGAAATCTGAGGGAAGATCTTGGGTGAACTCGAGACTATCCAGTCCCCCCACCCCCCCGGCCCCCTGGCCCGTAACCTCTCAATGAATAGTTTTAGCATTCACCTGTGACTTGCCCACAATGGCTGTTTCATTAGTGGTTTCAAAATAGTGATTTTGCTATCATCCTTTCAACATCATCAGCTGGTGTTTTCCTGTGAAAAGTGCTTTTCCTCATCAACCGGGGCTGGTTTCCTGCCATAAAGGCATGGTAAATAAGGAGTGGGTGCAGTTGTCATTTTCAAAGGTGATGAATGAGTTCTGCTGATGTTGTTGTTTTTAAATGTTTGTTTGTTTATTTTGAGAGAGAGCACGTAGGGGAGGGGCAGGAAGGAGGGGGACAAAGGCTCTGAAGCGGGATCTGCGCTGACAGCAGAGAACCTGATGCAGGGCTTGAACTCACGGACCACGAGATCATGACTGGAGCCGAAGTCAGATGCTTGACCGACTGAGCCCCCCTCCCCCTCCAGGTGCCCCACCTGTTGCTGTCTTAATACCCTATGGACTCATGGATATATTGATATGTTCACAGGGTCAGGAAGTCTATTAATTTTTTATTGTGGTAAAAATAGACATAACAAAATTTGTGATCATAATAGTTTCCCGTGCACAGCTCGGTGGCATTAAGCACATTCACGCTGTTGGGCAACCGATCCCCACCCTCCATCTCCAGAACTTTTTCATTTTCCCCAAACGAAACTCTGTCCCCATGACACACTGACTCCCCAGCCCCAGCATCCACTGTCTTACTTTCTGTCTCTATGGATGTGACTCCCCTAGGGACCTTTTATGAGTGGAATCACGTAGGATTTGTCCTTTTGTGTCTGGCTTATTTCACCGAGGATAATGTCCTCCAGGTTCATCCAGGGTGCAGCAGGTGTCAGAATTTCCTTCCTGTTTAAGGCTGGGTAATATGGGTAAAAATGGACCACATTTTGCTTGTCCATTCGACTGTTGATGGAGATTTGGGTTGTTGCTCCATTATTCTTTCCAATGCTTAAAGGGTTACGCCTGATTTAGTGGGAGCTCTGGGGATGTAGTTTTGAAAACCCCCAATAGTTCAGAGTCTAATTCCAGGAGAATTTCCCAGAGAGTAAGGGGGAGGTGCCTGGGTTCCTGAAGCTCCTCTTTGCAACAATTGTAGCGTGAAGGTTCTTCGCTGCAAGTTACTCGCACCCCCCCC